TATACTAACTACTGCCCAGCAACAAATATCTTTTTGGGGATAAGGTTGAGAGGATGGATATCTATGAACTTTCAGATGGTATTGGAGGATACAAATTATCTTTACTTTTTCAGTCTGAGTTCAGACTTGATTTTAAACAGAATCAATTCTGGATGCTTTATGGATCATCTCCTCTGAGGAGGAGACAAAAGAGTAATATTCTGCTTCCCGTACTTGCTTTGATGGTTTTGGAATGTTCTCCTATTGTACATATGATGTGGCATTCTCATATGATCTGTACTTGAGATTATGGTTATTCCTACAGGTGAAAGAGTTCCACCAGGATGGATAGTTACACTGCCCCTACTTCAGGGGTGAAATCCAGCAGGTTCTAACAGGTTCTGGAGAACCGGGAGCAGAAATTTTGAGTAGTTCGGAGAACCAGCAAATACCATCTCTGGCTGGCCCCAGAGTGTGGTGAAAATGAAGATTTTGCAATATCCTTCCCCCAGGAATGGGGAGGGGGAATGAGATTTTGCAGTATCCTTCCCCTGAAGTGGGGTGGGAATGGAGATTTTGCAGTATCCTTCCCCTGCCATGCCCACCAAGCCAAACCATGTCCACCAAGCTATGCCCACAGAACCGGTAGTAAAAAAAATTGGATTTCACCACTGCCCTACTTATTCTTGATTAAGGAAAATGCATCTAAGAGCCTAGATGAAAGAAAACATGAAATCCCCATTCCCCAGACTAGATTGCTAACACACCATGACTGATCAAAGTATGAACAAATGGACAATGAAATAGAGGGTACAAACAAGCAAACACAATAAAGTTATTGAGCCAGTAGAAAATTATCTCAGCATAAAATTTGAAAAATCCTGTTTTGCTTCAATAGTAAGGCCAGAAAATAATGCTGTCCTTATACATTTTAGGCTATAAGTAAAGGGATGGTTTTATTCCTCTAATAGTCCTTACATGTGGGGGGGGGGACGGGATTACCAATCACTTTCCTTAATATTGGGTGGCTTTGGGCAAGTATAGGCAAGTGTTTGACATGGCATATTTAGTTAAGGGTTAAGGCCCACAATAACAAATAATTTATTTATTATTTATTTTATTTTATTGAATTTCTATACCGCCCTTCTCCCGAAGGACTCAGGGCGGTGTACAGCCCAAAATAAAACCATGACAATATAAAAATTAAAAGCAATTTAAAACAATTAAATAAATTGGCCAAAAAACTCTACTAAAACAACCCATTAAAATAGTAAAATGTTATTATTATTTAGGCCGGCCCTGCTTGTTGGAATAATAATGTTTTTAGGGTGCGACGAAAGGTACGAAGGTCGTGAATCCTACGAATCTCCGGGGGCAGGTCATTCCAGAGGGTAGGGGCCCCCACAGAGAATGCTATCCCCCTGGGGGTCGTCAGCCGACATTGCCTAGCTGACGGCACCCGGAGAAACCCCTCTCTGTGGGAGTGTACCAGTCGATGGGAGGCTATAGGTGGCAGAAGGCGGTCTGATAAGTAGCCAGGTCCCAAGCCATGGAGCGCTTTAAAGGTGGCAACCAACACCTTGAATCGCACCCAAAAGACCGGGAACCAGTGCAGCTCACGCAGGAATGGTGTTACATGGGAGCGTCGAGTCGCTCCCATAATTACCCGTGCAGCCGCATTCTGGACCAGTTGGAGCCTCCGGGTGTTCTTCAAGGGGAGCCCCATGTAGAGAGCATTACAATAGTCCAGACGGGAGGTGACGAGGGTGTGAGTGACTGTGCGTAGGGAGTCCCGGTCCAGAAAAGGACACAACTAGTAAATCAGGTGAACCTGATAAAAAGCCCCCCTGGCCACAGCTGTCAGAATGTCTTCTAAAGACAGCTGCAAGTCCAGAAGGACACCCAAGTTGCGAGCCCTTTCTGAGGGGGTCAAGGTCTCACCCCCAATAGTCAGTGATGGAGTCAACTGACTATGACGGGATGCCGGAAACCACAGCCACTCGGTCTTGTAGGGGTTGAATCTAGCTGACGGGAGATATTCTCTGTTTGTGACCTTCAATTAGACTATTTATGAATAGAAGGAAGGAAGGAAGGAAGGAAGGAAGGAAGGAAGGAAGGAAGGAAGGAAATCCTACCCAAAGTCCTATCAAAAACAGCCCAGCTGTCCAGTTATAATCCTAGAGGAGGGTATGGGTAAGCTCTTCTGAAAGAGTTGGACCTCTGTCCAAAAATAATCTGGGTATATAGCAAACAGGTACAGAGGTTGGACATAAAACAGGAAGGAACAATTGATAATGAGTGAGTTAGAAGTACAAGGAAATGGCAATGATGGCAATGAGCCTAATTCTGATCTCATGGTACTCTGGAAGTAGCCTATGGAGACCCATATAGCTGGAATGAAATAGGAAAAATGGCCTCTGGATAATCAAAGTAATAAACAGTACAGCGATCTAAAATCCTTGAAAGATTGTTCTACAATTGTTTATGAAATTAACAAACCCCAGTTCTATTTCCACATTGAAATTAACGTTCATGGCAGCACAGATCTAACATTCTCAACCTGTTAACAACAGATCTAGTGTTGTTTCAAAAAAGCAATAAACCTATTTCTACAAGAGGCTTTGTAAGACCTGAGAAGCACTTCAGAAAGCTAAAGTAGATGTAGCCAGGTGTCTGGTCTTCCCTGTTATTCAATAGCCATGGAGGACATTTCCCCCAAAATAGAGGGAGGTTACCTGCCTCATAGCAACCTAAAATCACTAACAGAAACTGAGCAGTTTCCATCTTAAATCATGTCAACAGCTACATTGTCAGTGAAGAATGCTAGATTATACCTTGGACCAACATTATACCTGGAGAAAGGGAAACTTCTGGACAATGTTAAGCTGCTTCATCTGTGGGCTGGGGAAGAGATAAATGTAATGTCATAAGGAGATGCATATAAAAATGGCTATAAGGGCATGTTAAGGGGGTTGTGACAATATGCCCAGAGAATCCAAAAATTGGAGCAAATAGCTCTTAAAAGAAATAAATAATCCCTTATGCAACTAGCCCTGGCAACTTTACCTCTACCTTCCAGTTTCTACAGGCTTTGGGTATGAATTCTGAGGCTCTGTCACATTAAATCTGTTTTAATCTCCAGGTTTTTATATTCTACAGGCATCCAGCCAAGTTTGACTGACTGAGAAGGAAGAAACTCCTTAACTTCCTTTCCCTCTGAATTCCAATTGCCTGCCACTCATGGGACTATTTAAAAGTTTTTAGGAGACCTCAGTGAGACAGCATGCCATTCCATCTTAAGAGCTAATCAAGTTAGCCAGCATTAAATTTTGCTGTTATTTAGTTGGTTACATTTTAATTTTTCTATCTTAGTTTCTATTGAATATCTTAAACATGTTATAAGAAAGTTTATAACATCAACACTAAATACATAATGAATTAAAATAAACGGGGAGAAAGATCCATGTGAGAGGCTTATCATAGGGTCAATAGAGGAAAATCCTAATTTCTCATTTTTTGTACACCTGCCAACTATGCTATTGCTTATAACACTGCCAGTTCCGATATTAAACGATTTGGAGAATTAGCACTAGTAGCTGCAACCCTATCAAACCAGATCAGGGGTGTCAAACTCAAGGCCCGCGGGCCACATCCAGCCTGTAGGGTGCTTAGATCTGGCCCATTGGGCTTCCCTGGAAACAGCGAAGGACTGGCCAGCGAAGGACTGGCCAGCGAACAGCGAAGTGCCTCTGCCAGCGAAAATAGAGCTCGGGAGGCCTCTTGAAATCCACACCTGTTAAAGTTCCAAGTTTGAAAAACATTGATCTATTTTGTGATATGTTAGGCGAGAGTCCATCACAATCTAGATACAACCTAGAATTGTGGATTTATAGTCCATCTGATCAAAATCTCAATTACCGTAATAAAGAAAGAGCTGGAATATTAGTAACAAATGCCTGTCCAGCCTAGTCCTAAATACTTTCAGTAAAGAAATCTCTTACTCTCTAGGTCAGGAATAGGAAATAGTTTTCCTCCAGGGATTGCAGTTTCATATTATTTTTAAATGTGTTTTGGCTTCTGAGGTCCACTACTGATGATGGAATGATATTACTAGACTGTGTGGGGCTGAGATTTTAGGCCCTTTTTTCTTGATTTTGGAAGCAGTTCATTTTTTTGTCTTACACAAAACATATATTTTATTACTCTAGAGACTGAGCACAGCTATTTTAAACTTCAATCTATGAAGCGGGGGGAAGCAAGAAAGAGGGGGACATGCTGCAAAATTTGGCTGTGTATTTTTTTGGGCAGGAGCTTTAGAGACTGCAAAAATGGGAGCCCGCAGATTGCTTCCCTCCTGCTCCAGATAATTGGTGTCACTTTGGAACTGCACGTACTTTTTTCCTTATGATATGATAAGGCTATTTCCAGTCATGAGAAATAATGTTCTAATAATCCAAAAAAGTTGTTAATTGCCTGGAAGCATCTGTTACTACTCTTGAAACAATAGGGGAACTGACCTCTAAATTAAGCATAAATTTCAAGGAAACTTTTCTTATTTTTCTTTTGTTTAAATGTGACATCAATTTACCTCATGTGATGTCAGTAAAATGGCATATTGTCATGATCTTTCTCACAATTAAAATACAAAAGATGGTTTCACAGTCCTACATATGCCCACTTTCTTAGTTCCTTAGCATTTCTGCAAGGAGTATTTGTAATACATAAAAGTTGTCATTCAGTAATAATTAATAAAACCACACCCTTTTCACATTAATAAAGAAATACTGTAAACACTTCAGCCCCAGTCACATAAATCTTTACACATCATAAAGTTTAATATACCAGAAGCATCTCAGTTGGTTAAAAATATTCTAATTGCAATGAACAACTCGGTATGTTTTCTTTACCTTAGAACTCCAGAATGAAAAAAAGGTACAGATGTGAAATGAATGAAATGCAGTGCAATCACATTTTTTAAAGGAGTAAAATCATAAAATTATAATGTATAGCGGTATTCTTACCCTTCCGTCCGGAATATGGTTTTAAAACTGTCTCCAAGGCTCTTGTACCCGGAGGGATCAGATTTTCCTCTTTGAATTTGGAACCTATAAAAGTAGTGAATGAAAACTTAGAAGCTATACAAGGGTTTAAAAATATACATTTTACAAGTGTTGTAAGAGTTTTCTGAATGTTATGCTCATATTTTATTTTGCACTTCCTTCTTGAATGTTCAATATACATTGTTTCAGGTAATTCTTAGGGATGTAAAAGAGATTTGCCATGAATTTCTTTCAAGTGAAATAACATAGTCTACCAACACGGGCTCTATTACAGCATAAACAGGAACAGACCTTATAGAACCTACAAATGTCTTTAGAATATTTTCTAAAGTATTTTCTAAATAATTTCTTAAAATATTTCCTTAAAAGATCTATATTAATGGCAGTGACAAACCAAAAAAACCCTGATACAGAAGGACACATCTAAAAAAAACCCTGAACAAAACACTATCTATGGGGAACAGTGGTATACGAATGTATATGGCCATGTAAATTATACTAAATAAATACATATTATTTTGACCAGAGCACATAATCAGTCCATGCAGAACCTGTATCTGGAAGTTTTCAAGATCACTTTATAATTTGCAGGACCGCCTTCTGCCGCCGATAGCCTCCCACCGACCAGTACGTGCCCACAGAGAGGGACTCCTCAGGGTGCCGTCAGCCAGGCAATGTCGGCTGGCAACCCCCAGGGGGAGGGCCTTCTCTGTGGCAGCTCCTGCCCTCTGGAACAATTTGCCCCCGGAGATACGAAGGATATCAGATCTCCGGGTCTTTCACCGTGCTCTGAAAACTTTTCTTTTCCATCAAGCAGGGCTGGCGTGAAACCCCCCCCCTCTTTTTTAGTCTTTTTAGTTTTTTAGTTTTAAATTGTCATGGGGTTTTAAATTGAACTGTTTTAAATTGGGCCAGTTATATAATTCTTTTAACAATTTTAATTTTTTATCTGTATGTGTTTCAGCTCTGGCTGTTCACCGCCCTGAGTCCACTAGGAGAAGGGCGGTATACAAATTGAAATAAATAAATAAATAAATAAAAATAAATAAATTTGTAAAGAATAGTACATTATGTTCACAGAATTAAACTGAAATACAGCTTAAATGTTCTATCGCATCACAGTCTCATAATATTTAAACATCTCTTATGTTTGCTCTTTAAGTTTGTACAGCACTATTATTAGATAATTTTAGCTTTTACATGAGACAAAAGTCTTAGGGCAGTGATCTTTTCCTGTATTCCAGTTTTGCTAAAACATAAAGATAACAGTTCAACACTTCAAATATGCAGTCCTTTTACTAGCTCTAAATCCAGATGGTCTATATCATGGGTGTCAAACTCGTGGCATCATGTTGCCATCACATGACATTTTCTACGTTTTTCCCATTCCCGGACCTGGGGTGGGCATAGCCTACGTGTGACACATCTGGCCCACAGGCCACCAGTTTGACATTCCTGGTCTATATTCATTCCTTCTCCCTTTAATTCTGTTATATATTTTGATATATTATATTGTTTCAGTACAATGATATTTGAGCAGTATCATATTGTTTATATGACTTGGAATATTGAAAATAAAAAAGACAAAGAAATATATTGTTTATATACTAATTACAATAGAATTATCTATTAATTATAATTTATATTGATATTAGGAGGAATGTGATATACGTTTACAGCAGTGAGAATAAATGTTGCTCAATACTAGAAGAAAATATCTGGCTGAGAACTTAGACTTGGAGAATATGAACCAATGACAAAGCTAACAGTAAATAATAAAAGTTTAATCAATTTTTAAAAAAGAATGGCTCACACACATAGATTACACAGCAAGGCAAATATAATCACTTACAGTTCAGCTTTTAAGTAGGCTTAAATGTCTTCCATAGGGAAAAATAATAAATAGGAATATCTAAATTGGTATTCCTTTTAAATTATTTTTTGTGTTTTAATTTTTGATAAATTTATTTCGCAGATCCATTTATTCCTATATATACATAAGAAAACTTTTTTTTTCTCTTTCTATTCAGTCATGTCCAATTGTCAGAGACTGCCTGGAGAAGTTTTCTTGGTGAGGTTTTTCAGAGGTGGTTTGCCATTACCTTTTTTCTAGGATTAAGACAAAGTGATTAGCCAAGGTCACCCAGCTGGCTTTGTGCCTAAGGCAGGACTAAAACTCCCAGTCTCCCAGTTTCTAGCCTCATGCCTTAACCACTACACCAAAATTCATGTGTGTGCCTGTACACACACAAACACTTATATAAAGCAATTTTAGAGACTTTAATTCTTAGCAATCACCTCAAGATTAAAATGGTGCAATTTCTTTCTTTCCAATATTATACTCAATTTTCTATATTTTTGGTAACCTAACTGGATAAGGAAAAAGAGGCTGAATATTCAAAATGAACAGCATTGTTAAAAAAGCTATTGATCAATATGATTTTACCAAATATGAATTCATTAAGATCCTTTAGTGAATCAGGAATGGATAACAAATATTGAATCAAACTATTTGCTTTGGATGAATTTAATCACACTATGAGTTGAGGTAGAGTCTTCTTTCAGACAAGAATCCCAAGGTGTGAATCTGTAGTTTGGAATTGTTCAGAAAAACAGATACATCTGTACACAAAGCTTACATATACTATAGATTTTATTGCCTACAAAATGCTGTGCAAGGGGATATATAAGGGGTGGAGAGAATAGTGGTAATAAATGACTATCAACTTTACCTTCAAAGCTCAAAGCGTGATTCATCAGAAACTCTTCTATAACCACATTTTACGGGAGGAGGGCTAAATTTTGCTTTTGCTTTTACTGTGTCATCTATTTATGTCTCAGAATAAAAAAGCTGTAGGCATTTTTCTTTTCTGAAAAAAAAAAAATCAAAATTACTGCACCTATCTCTCTGAAACTGGACAACCATTATCTATTCAGACAGGTTTTGTGCCTGAAAATTCTGTCCCATTTTGTTAAAAAAGTAAAAATATGAATGTAGATTTTGTAGATTTCACCTGTTGATAAATGGGTTTCCAAGATTTTGCTCTGGTAGAGCCACCAAATGTAGTCTGTAAAAATCTACAGTAGTTGATTACTAGATGGATACAAAGAATTAGATAACTCTGTATTTTGTTTTTGATAAGCAGCTGTTATAAGATTTAGAATAGAATAGAATAGAATAGAATAGAATAGAATAGAATAGAATAGAATAGAATAGAATAACAGAGTTGGAAGCAACCTTGGAGGTCTTCTAGTCCAACCCCCTGCTTAGGCAGGAATCCCTACACAAATGGTTCAGACAAATGGTTATCCAACCTCTTCTTAAAAACTTCCAGTGTTGGGGCATTCACAACTCCTGCAGGCAAGTTGTTGTTATTAATTGTTCTAACTGTCAGAAAATTTCTCCTTAGTTCTAAATTGCTTCTGTCCTTGATTAGTTTCCACCCATTGCTTCTTGTTCTACCCTCAGATGCTTTGAAGACTAGTTTAACTCCCTCTTCTTTGTGGCAACCCCTGAGATATTGGAACACTACTGGCATGTCTCCCCTAGTCCTTCTCTTCATTATTTATTTATTTATTTATTTATTTATTTATTTATTTATTTATTTAATTGGTTCGATTTATATGCCGCCCTTCTCCCAAGACTCAGGGCGGCTTACAATGCGTTAAGCAATAGCCTTCATATTTTTGTATATACCTGCTTAGTAGGGCTTTCGGGCCACCCTAAGCAGTGTTCTTTTTTATACAAAGTCAGCTTATTGCCCCCACAATCTGGGTCCTCATTTTACCTACCTCGAAAGGATGGAAGGCTGAGTCAACCTTGAGCCTGGTGAGATTTGAACTTGCAGTAATTGCAGGCAGCTGGTGCTACTTAATAGCACTTTAGTCTGCTGCGCCACCAAGGCTCTTAAACTAGACATACCCAGTTCCTGCAACCGTTCTTCATATGTTTTAGCCTCCAGTCCCCTAATCATCTTTGGTGCTCTTCTCTGCACTCTTTCTAGAGTCTCAACATCTTTTTTACATTGTGGCAATTTGAAGTTCCAATCTCCTAAAATCAAGCCTGAAGCAAATTTTATAATGGTTCGTGTTCCAATTACTTCCAGCTCCACATGATATTTTAGGGCACACACTGAACTCTATAAAGAAGGTATGCTATACTCTTCGGTGTCATGAAAAGTACAATGTTAGTGTATTTTCACTGGAAGTATCAAATATTAGTCAGAGGCTTAACAGAAAAAATAAAAAAAAGAAGATAACCACAAGACCTTTATTGCAGGATATTGATGCAATCTAAAACTTAACAAACAACCAGACAAATAAAAAAACTAAGCAAATAGAGATGGGCCTTTTACAGAGCCTGCTTTGCTACCCTTCCACCAATACTTTTGGTGCGAAGATTTCATAGGATTCTTTATTTACAGAGACTTTGCCCTTGTAGTTCCAGTGAGACAGAAAATCTTGCTCATATTCTCATATGGTTTCTTTGTTATATTGCCCCAACATGTGCTCTTATCTCCCCAATCATTTCTAAACTTTGGAGTCAAACTCTTAAAATTGTATGTTCATTACTTTTTAATAGGTGTTAACTCTACACTCACATACTAGGTGGCCAGAAATGTTCACTAAGTCATACAATTGTGCAAAAATTTAAATTACAGAATATTTGTAGCTCCGGGTTTAACATTTTATCTAGTTTGGTTATGAAACATCTGCAAGAAAACAACCAAGCTCAGAGAGCACCAAGCTCAGAGAACATTTTTAATTAGATATGCTTTTTTATAGTCCCATTGTTTTTTTCTCGTAATAAAAAATTGCTACATTAAATTGCCGTTTTCATTTACTCTATGGGCTGGTTAAAGATTCGATTTATGACAATTCAATAAGAATATGTAGAAGGCTTATTACCTTTTTTTCTAGCATACATAATTCAAGCAGATTTTAACAGTGTTTTACATTTTGGGGTTTTTTAATTATTAAAATAAAATCAACATAAATAAATTAAATGGTATGATCTACCTAAAACATTTCTCAGTGTATATACA